CATCATTTCCATTTTTTACGTCCATATATCATTGTTGCAGTTAAAAAGCTTGTAATTGTAACTTAGGTTAGATGCCCGGTTGCCTCTAGTATGCAAAGGTTATGTGTCACTTTTGACGGTGATGCGCTCTTAACTTTAATTGATTGGTCGTGATTCCGATGTTGTCACTTTGAAGAAATTAATGTATTTATATAGTACTTTGTTTATTTAATTTGAGAGTAAAAAATGTAAAAACAAAATTAAGAGCAAGAGAAGAAAGATTGGAACTCTACTGTTATCAACAATCTCAATACAACCATAGCCAAACCACAAAACAATAGATAATTTTAAAATAAAAATAAAATAAAAAAATAAAAAAAAAAAAGAAAGCTTTTTCCAACCGAATACAAGTCTGTCTTTCAACTTTCATCTTCAAATTGACACTCCTTCTTTATGAATAATTAAAAATAAAAAATAAAATCCATTCATCAGAGTCAGAAGAACAAGGATCCCCTAAAATCTACAAGGCAGCATATTGATTAAAATTACGCAACATGTCTCCGGTGCCACCTGGAAAGCAATTAGCTTTGCCTCGACTGCTCCGAACTCTGAAAGTGAAGTGAATTAAATTCGAATTTACGAGATGCAAATAATCAGATTTTTCCTACACTATCAACAATTCGATTCCAATTTCTCTTGTTAATAAATAGCAAAGTTGTATTAAATCATTACAATTTCCATAGATGCATGAAAAAACTTTGCGATTTTTTCTTATATCCAATCATTATAATTTCATAAATAGTTATGCAGTATATATCCACGTTAATTTGTTAAGCCTTTTTCCTTTTTAACATATGTCCTCGTATTAGCTATATTTTCGGTGTTTGATAGTAAAACAAAAAATGGAATACAACAAAGATGAAGCCACAAGAGCCAAAGATATGGTTGAACAGGTTGGCTTTGGAGGCTCAAAGTCTCTTTCATGGACTTGATGGCTTGAGTCAGTTCATCGGAGATCATCAACATACACATTACTAGTGATAGATGTTGGATTTTTGGGTCCAATGTTTATCCACACACCAAAACACTAACACACCTATTTTTGCAGCCCAAGTAAATCTTTGCATTAGCCCATGATACAAGCCTGTGACCCGCTCTCATGACCCATGCCTCATCTCTCTTTCCTTGATCCGCAATAGCCCGACCTGGTTCTAGGATCCGCGTCTCTTTTATTAGACACGATCACAACTGTCCGATCTAAGTTTTGCATCTTAGCCATCCATTATGTTTTGACCTATGTACAGATAATGAGAGAAAGAGAGGGGCGCCGCTCTCATTCCATATCTCTCAAACTTTCTATCGCTAACCTCTCTCTCCATCTCTCTCACCCGGGTCCCTTTCCGGCGACTTTGTCCGGAGTTCCCTCGGTGGCGCCTTTCTCCCATTTTGTGGAGTTTCTTGGTAGGCTACTGCTTTTGTTCCTATTTAGCTTGTTTTGATCTGTGGGGGTTCTTTCTTATATGTGTCGTAGGTTGTGGCCCGGTTTATTTGTGTTCGTCGCGATTTCGGTATATTTTTCTATTTCGAGTGGTTTTGGGGCTAAGCCTACAAACCAAGTCATATTTCAAGTTTTTATTAAGATTTGTTGGTATTTTGATCAATAATATCATTGATCCTTTTATTTTTACCATAACAACGACAAAATAATTAAATAAGGATCCGGATTATTATGGAGGTTGATCCAGTGGCGGATGAGGATACATTGAAGACACGGTACAAGAGAATGACCCTCTCCGTTCACCCACATAAGAAAAAATCAGTAGGGGCAGACGGAGCCTTTCAAATATGTTCACCGGCCTGGAGTGCACTATCCAATAAAGAGAGAAGAAATGCATATAATCTGAAGATAAAGAGACTGCCTCAAAATCAAAGTGGTAGTGCTGCATCAACTCAGTGCCGCCAATGTCGATTGGCAACCAGGCAAGACACATTTTGAATATTTAAATAAAAATTTGGAGTAACCTCGGTGCGAAAAGCCTATCCAGGGAATGGAGATTTCTGCTCCAAATTTAAAAGCTCCCGGCTCACACTATTGGAGCGTCTTCCATAAAACTGAGGATCTATCAACATTCTTGAGTCGTTTAAGAAGTGTAGGACAATGTGATGAATAAATAGGATTATCGCAATAGGACTTTGTTTATTAATTAGCTAAAGATTAAGTTAGTTAAAATTGTGGGAATCATCACATTTGTATAACTACTGCGACTATAGCTCTTATATCGACTTTGTTTCCGCCAGTAAATAGGGGTAAAATATGCGTGTATTTTGGATATATAATACAATTTCAAATTTCAGTTTCAATTTTTCTACTAGCATGACTTCTTCTTCTGTTTTTTTTTTTTTTTATCCCACACGCCACTTAGAGCTCAAGTGAGGACTCCGGTGGCTTGCACCACTTGTGACAAAAGTGTTGTGCCCAGCTCCCCAGCTAAGCAATTAAAATAACTGAATCCCTACATATTCCAAACAAAAAATAAATAAATAAATTCAACTTAATTCAACCAATTTAAAACAAATTACAATCCATCAATTTCAAATAAATTATATTTTGTGTTTGTTTACTTATTAAATATCAATTATTACCATTAGAAAAATGTATTGTAATTAATTGCAATTTTAAAAAAAAATTATTAAAAAATGTAAAAATGTAGTAATGCAGTAGAAAAACGTGTAAAGTGCAAATAGAAGAAGAATAATGCGTAAAAAAACAAGAACTTTGTTTGAATGAATTTTAATGATGCCTTCTTGGATGAACTTTTTATTCTTTCCAAAATTCTCTCCACAAAAGTCTAACCGCTCATCTCTATGTGGATTTTCCTCTTAAATATTTACTCATTCCTTTATTTTCTCCCCAAAAATTTCATCTTCCACTTCTACAAAATATCTCTGCTCACTACTCCTCCACTTTCTTTATCCATGTGGCATCCCTTTGGATTAATTATATCTTCCAATTTATAGCCCTTAAATTTAGTACTTTGTCTGCTTAATTCCACATCTCAAGATATGGGGTGACATTATGCCTATAATTCCTCCTTTCAATAATTAATTTTTCGATGAAGTTTGACTTCATATTAATTCGAGTTCGGTGGGAGCCGCATGGAGTTGGGAAGGACCATGCTTCTTGGATTGGATCCGTTTTCTCTTGATTGCATTGGACCAAATTTATATGGGGTGTATTTGTAGGGATATAAATGCCCCCAACAAAAATATTTGGGCAAAGTTTATCCTGCAACTCGAATATTTTTGTTTTCAAAACCCAAATAAATAGCTCGGCATCCGCTCAAATGGATGCCCACTGAAGCACCTGCTTTTGGATCCTTGCGCCATTTTAAGGCCAATTTTTTCCTTCACCTTGAACCCACCCATAGTACCTTTGATCCTTTTCTAGGCGCCAATCAACCGACGGCTGAAGAATGCACTATAGTTCCAATCTTCGCAACTTTAGGACCTTCTGGGAGGACGGCCTTCCATATCATATCACTTTCCTCGAATGTTTGAGGCCATACGTGTTTTTAAAAACCAAACTTGGCCTTCTCTTTAACGTTTGGCACTAGTTCTGAATTAAAGCACCACAGAGGATATTTATGGAGCCTGATATGACAGCATCCTAGGTAGGCGGTGCACCGCCAAGCTTCTTGACAGTCCCGGCATCTCATGATCATCTCCCGCAAAACAATCTCTAAACTCCGGGATCAAGATGACCATTTTCTCCTACTTTTCCGCACTCATCAAAGCACTGATCCGCATTATCTAAGGAGCAACTTCATCCCCCAAATTGACCTCGTTCATCGGGTCTTGCACCTCAAATGGTGGCATAACTCATCGGATCGGGGAGTAAATCTCATCTTCACCTTCATCCAAAAGAGGCGGTTGTGGAGGAGTCCTTGCCTTCTCACCAGAAAGGTAAGCGGCATGAGTTCCGGCTTGCATTAATGGACAACCAGACCTACCTGCTCTTTCCTCCATATCTTGCAATAGCATGTCGTCATTCATGAGCACCTGATCAGCTATTGGGCCACATGTCGGCCTCAAATTCTCAAGGAAAAACTATGATCATATTTAATTTGAATCCGCCCTAGTAATGTTGGGCTTGTTCAAGGTCCCAATCAACCGATACTATGTCCAAACTTTCTTATGATACTACGTTGCAATCAAGTGCTCCAATCATGGGCTCATCCTCCGAAATATGGGCCATTTCGGAGATTGCAGGAGGTTGTTGGTTGGTAGGACATTCACCCTTTGGCAGAGGACACTTCGGCCTCCATTCCTTCCGGGCCCGAAGCTGATGACGCAAATCTTCCCAGTCCGATTTCGGCCTTACTGATGCTACTATTTCTTGATCGTCCGGCTGCTGCCCCCTATCTGACTTTCTTGATAGAGGCTGGTAGCTAGGCATTGTCGCCGCAACCTTCTTTTTGAGACCTGGAGGGAAGCCTCAACCTCCGCTCCGTTGGTTTCACGGCCCAGCTTTCATCATCCGGAGCTTTCTTGGGATGGCATGTCCAATGTGGTGTGATTACCATTTGATGAAAGCCTGAATTCAAGGAATAATTGAGGAGATGGAAGGAATTAGAGACGTGGACAAAGGAATAGCTTTAGGGTTTATTCTGCTCAAAAAGAGATTGTAATTCATGAATGAAATTACAGACAGGTTATTTATAGTGACTTGATGATGGGTAAACTTCAATAATAACTCAACAAATTTTAACTACTTATGCTAATAATGGTAAGTTAGCTCCTAAACTTTTGCAACACGTGATCCTCCTGTTGTAGACTTTAACTGACTTGGTCTTCATCTACATAGTCAAGATTATTAATCCACCAAACTCCCCCTTAATCCTGACATGGCTCGAGTTTGCGTACGCCCATTAGATGTCTCTTTTTTGCCAATTGCATTCCTGGTAGACTCTTGGTCAGAGCATCGGCACACTGTTCATCTCTCCGAACAAACTCCACTTCAATTAGCTTTTGCTCGACACAGTACTTTTCCTTGTATCTGGGTCTCCTGCCATGTCACTATCTGAATATCCGATGATGATTTCTCCAACTCCATCTTTCTGATAGATCAATCCATGTTGAATTGTTCCCTTTAAATATCTCAGGATTTGCTTCACAGCCTTTTGGTGCATAGTTGTAGGTCTCTCCATGAACCTGCTTGCAATTCCTAATGAGTATGATAAATCTGGACGGGTGCGTAGTAAGTACCTTAGACATCCAACTACTCGTCGGTATTCAATTGGATCCATCAGCTCTCCATCTAGGTCTTTATGAATATATGGATTTGGCTCCATCGGCACTTTAGTTGCGTTGCATTCCGCTATACCAAATTGAGTCAACACCTTCTTGGCATATGCTGATTGCTTGAGAGTTATTTGTCCTTCTTCTTGTGCCACTTCTATCCTGAGATAGAATGTGAGAAGTCCAAGGTCGCTCATCTCAAACTCAGACATTATCTGTCTTTTAAACAGTTTGATCTCCTGCGGTCTTTCTCAGATGACAATCAAATCATCGACGTATACACCAATGATGATACCTGATTGTCCCTGTCCTCTGGTACAGACGGTTTGTTCTTGCGTACATTTGGCAAAGCCGAGCTTCTTGAGGCTTCTGTCTAATCTGATATTCCAAGCTCTTGGTGCTTTTCGAAGCCCATATAGCGCCTTGTGTAGCCTGTAGACTTGATGTTCTTTATTCCTCACTTTGAACCCTTCTGGTTGGATCACGTACACCTCCCCCTCAAGATCGCCGTTCAGTAAGGCTGACTTTACATCAAGACGATGTACCTGCCAACCACGATTAGTCGATATGGCAAGGATTACGTGTAACGTGTCCAGTCTGGCTACAGGTGAGAAGACTTCCTCGAAATCCACGCCATATCATTGTACATATCCCTTTGCAACGAGCCTTACTTTGTGCTTAACCACTTCACCATCTGAATTTCGTTTTAACTTGTAAACCCATTTCAGTCCTATGGGTTTGTGTCCTGGTGGTAAGTCGATGAGACTCCATGTTGTATTCTTCTCGATTGACTTGATTTCATCCTCCATTTCCTTCTCCCAGGCGGCTTGTCCGGCAGCTTTGCGGTAGTGAGATGGTTCCTCCATGTCAGAGAGTAGTAAATATTCATCATTTTCTTCCTAAGCTCCACTTTTCGAGCATCTCGTATTACTGAATCAATATTTCTGAAGCGCAGGGGTCTGTCGTCAGTACTGGTGGAGCGTTCTTCTGATGATGGCGATATAGGCACAACTGTAGTAACAGGTTTGGGTACGGATGGCCCTAGCGTTAGCATGCTCTGTACTGAGGGACTTGCTGGATCTTCCTCCGAGGGTCTTTCTGGTACTTAATCTGACTGAGGTCTCCAGATTTGGCATCCTTCGACAGTAAGAGGTTGGCTTCCATTGATTTATGTGTCTACATCCCAACTCTATGCAACGTTCTCTTCAAACTTGACATCCCTGTTTATATGAATCTTCTTTTGGTGAGGATTGTAAAGGTTATGTGCCTTGCAGCCCTCTTCGGCACCAAGATACACCATTGTCTGACTGCGATCATCGAGTTTCTTCTGATGGGGTGTCATAATCTTTGCGTGAGCAATACAACCAAATACTCTGAGATGAGTGAGGTTTGGCTTCCTTCCGCACCACATCTCAAATGGTGTATGATTGTCTAGTGCTTTTGTCGGTAGCCAGTTTAGGATGTACACTGCATGTCTTACGGCCTCCCCCCAAAGCTCGTTCAGGACATGCATAGTTTTGAGGAGAGATCTCGCCATCGTCATTACTGTCCGGTTTATGCGCTCTACTACTCCATTCTGTTTTGGCGAGTAGGGAGCGGTCAGATGTCTCTGAAATCCTTTTGTTTCACAGAACGTGGTGAACTTTGTTGATAAGAATTCACCGCCACGATCGGTCCTCATTGTTTTGACTCGGTACCCGCTGGCAGTCTCCACTTGCTGTATAAACTTTTTGAATATGCTACACGCCTGGCCCTTTGAACTGATCACAAAACTCCACATCCACCGAGAATAATCATCAACAATTAACATAAAGTATTTGTTACCAGATGATGTCGATGGAGTGATTGGTCCACAGAGATCGGCGTGTAATAGTTTGAGTGGGTTCTTTGCTCGGTACTGCGTCTGTGTTGGGAATGGCTGTCGTGGTTGCTTAGCGATAAGGCATCCTTGACATAGCTGGTTCAGACGTGTGATCATTGGTACTCCAATTGCCATTTTCTTTTCTGTCAGCTTTCTCAAGGCCTCAAAGTTGACATGTCCGAGCCGACCGTGCCATAGTCATCCATGATCTGAAGTGTTCGCCATCAAGCATACTGGGTTACAGGAGGTGATCGTAGCCTTGTACAGTCGGTTAGAATGGCATCTCACCTTCATGATCAAGATTCCACTCGAGTCGTATATCCATAGGTGCTCCCCTTCTATCACCAATTTATTTCCTATTTCGGCCAGCTAACCACAACTAATGATATTATTACGCAAATCAGGGATATAATATACCTCATCGAGGAGTCGCTGCTCGCCGCACTTCAACTGGAATAATACAGATCCTTTTCCTTTAATTTGGACCTTGGATCAATCCCCAAATTTCACTTCTCCTTGTACCGACTCATCCAGGTCACGGAAGTGTCTTCGCTCTCCGGTCATGTGATTACTTGCTCCATTGTCGAAATACCAAGTGTCACCACCGGGTTCATCTTCGCCCTTGGTTCGAGCCCTTGGTTCGAGCGTCTGTTTGTTCCTTGCTCAATAGAGCTCGGTTCTCTCTTTCTGCCGCTGCTGACAGCACGAGTGCGGGCTCCTTTCCTCTGTGCACGTTAGGTTGGCTTCTACCTTTCGTTGTTTACTCCAACACTCTGATGCATAGTGCCCCACCTTGTTACAATTGTAGCACCTTATATGGTTCTTGTCACGGCCTTCTCCGCCAGAGCCTCTTGTGTTCTCCCTGCGTGAAGTTTCGGTGTGCTCACCTCTGCCACGACCTCTCCCGCGATCGCGTCCACCCCGGTGCGATTGCCGCTTACTTCACTGAGGTTCCTTTCCTTGCCACCTTTGTAATGTTGTCCTTTCCAATTTGTCTGGGCAAGAAGTAGCTGACTGCCGTTGTTTCCGCTAGGTGCTGTCTGGCGTATTCGCTCCTCGAACATTTTAAGACGTCCAACGGCTTCTTGGAAAGGCATCATGGTGAGATCACAGAATTGTTCGATTCCTGCGATGACTGGGTAATACTGAGTAGGCACAGTGTCAAACAATTTCTTTACCATCTCTGCGTCGTTTAGCGTAGCTTCCAAGCTGGTATACTTTGCCGACATGCCACTCAGCTTTCCTGCATACTCCTCCAATGTCTCCCCTTCACTCATCCGCAACCCATCAAATTCTCTTTTCAACGTCTGCAGTCGCGCTGCCTTAACACGATCAGCTCCTATGAACCTCGTCTTGAGGCTGTCCCAAACCTCCTTGGCCGTCTTTTTCTGAGCAACCTGCAATAGAAGATCTTCCGAAAGGGCTTGGAGAAGAAGTGCTCTCGCTGCTTTGTCCTTCTTTCCCTCCACAGCCGCTCATTCTTCTGGTTCGATGGCCTCCCATACTCCTTTGGCTTCCATTATAGCCTCCACCTTGATCGCCCACGTGGTATAAAATTTGTCGATGTCAATTGTGGATAGACGAATGACACCCCACCGTTGTCTTTTACTGCCGCTTCATGTCTAACGATCGACATCGGATCAAGGCGGAGATATTTTGGCATACAAACCTTGCTTTGATACCATGTGAAAGCCTGAATTCAAGGAATAATTGAGGAGATGGAAGGAATTAGATACGTGGGAAAAGGAATAGCTTTATTCTGTTCAAAATGAGACTGTAATTCATGAATAAAATTGCAGACAGGTTATTTATAGTGACTTGATAATGGGTAAACTCTAATAATAACTCAACAAATTTAACTACTTATGCTAATAATGGTAAGTTAGCTCCTAAACTTTTGCAACACATGATCCTCCTGTTGTAGACTTTAACTGACTTGGTCTTCATCTACATAGTCAGGATTATTAATCCAACATTTAATCCATTGAGGTCACTCACCAAACCTCACCACCCTTCTCAAAACTTACTTTCGCAATCCTGTTGGTAGGGGAAAGTCTCTCCAAATTGAGCTCCTTCTCGGAGGTTTAATCGACCTTTGAAACCTCTCAAACACTATTTTCAAGATCCTGATCCTGACCTTAAAGGCATTGTCGGGCTTACTCCGACGGTGTTTATTGGTGTGGGGAATGTATTGGTATCAACCATCATTTCAAGTTTATCGGGCAGCCGGAGGTGACCTTACTTTATGGCCTTCTATGCTATATTTCTGAACACGATACAATTTCTGACTTGATGCCCATAAATTATATGCCTATTTCAGTACGAGTTCCCATTCAGCTCCTCATTCACTGTCATTTTGTATCCTTCCTTTAGACATAGCTGATTGTCCTTTAGCAAATACTAAAAAAATCCGCTCCATCTTAGCAATGAAAAAAGAAAATGACACCCTTATATTTACCTCTTTCACCGGGGTGGGTTAAGAGCCGGCAAGTGTAGGCCTTCCCTGGGAGATCTCAGCTTATCATGTCCACGAGTTTAGTCAAAGCGCCACGTTTCGGCAGCTCAATTATGGGCATAAACATAATGGTTCCCGCTCTCAAATTAGACCAAATATTTATAGGCTAGGTTGGCCTGGCCAATTGACTAATTTATGTTTGATATCTTCACCTATATAATTTTTTACAAAAAATTATAGTAAAGTAGTGGGCCATAAATTAGTTTTAGACCAAAATAGTCCCTGGCCAAACGTAAGATGGTTTTCAAGAAACAGTCCGAATAAAGCCCATAGTAAATCTTAGGATCTAATCCAAATATAAATTTGTTATATTGGCCCATGTTAAAATGTGTTAGACCAACCTGTCTTGGACAACTTGAATTTTATCCAATATAAAACTCATTTCTTTTTTTTATTTATTTTATTTTGAAATTTATACTGTATTAATTTTTATTTTATTAGTTATAATTATAAGTCTGTCATAAAATAACTTATTTATTTAAGTTTCAATATAACTAAAATTTTAGTTTTTGAAAGTTTGTTTTACCTCCATTTTCAACACTATTTACGTTGACAATATAACTAAAATTTAACAAATCAAAACACAGAAGAAAAAAAAAAAAGAAAATCTTGAAAATCAAGTAAATTACCCTAAATTTGTGTAAATCAAATATGGTATTAAAATGAAGTACTATTATATACCTTAATTTTCAGACAATCAATCTGCCTCCTTTTCTCCAAACGAAGGATGGGGTTATAGACATGCTTGCGAACTGGCCGAACATCATGCCCTGTGTGAAAACCCGATTCAATACAAAGTTTGGCAGGCTAAAGCATCGATTCTATGCATGCAATAT